TCAGCTACATTTTTCACAATACGTCAACATTTTAATTACATTCTGGTTGTTCTGTTTCCAGTACTCTAGTTTTCCTGCTTCCTTAGTCTTCTTATCTTTGCTTTAGTGTAATTGTTGATCTTTTGGTCTCATATATAGATGTTTTTTTAATGGAACACCGTACTCACTGGTAATATCCTTTATTTGTGTTCCAACCTATTATTTCACTAAAAGGTAACCTCGGGATAGTTTCAGTTCAATGTTTAAAGAGTATCTTGGGCCCTAACATATGGCACTAACAGTATATAAACCATAACTAACAATACATAAACACCAGAAGATAAGCTAGATAACAGGGATCTTCTAAAAATTAAATACTTATGCTCATCAAAAGACCACCGAAGAGTAAAAAGAGAACCTACAGACTGGGAAAAAATTTTTGGAGATGACAACTCTGACAAAGGTGTAATCTCTAAAATCTACAGGAAAATCCAGCATATCTACAACAAAAAGACAATCCAATTAAAAAATGGGCAAGGGATATGAACAGGCACTTCACCAAAGAAGATATTCAAGTGGCTAACAGACACATGAGGAAATGCTCACGATCACTAGCCACCAGAGGAATGCAAATCAAAACTACAATGAGATACCATCTCACCCCGGCATGACACGCATGAATCAAAAAAAAAAACAGAAAATAACAAATGTTGGAGATGCTGCAGGGAGACTGGAACTCTTATGCACTGCTGGTGGGAATGTAAAATGGTAGAACCATTTTTGAAAATGGTAAGGCACTTCCATAAAAAGCTAGAAATAGAAATACCATATGATCCAGCAATCCCATTCCTAGGAGTACATTGTAGAGAAATAAGAGCCATCACAGGAAAAGACATATGGACACCCATGTTCATTACAGCGTTGTTCACAATAGCAAAAACATGGAAAAAACCTTGGTGTCTATCAACAGATGAGTGGATAAACAAACCATGGTACATACATGCAATGGAATACTACACAACAATAAAGAACAATGATGAATCTGCGAAGCATCTCACAACATGGATGAATCTGGAGGGCATTATGTTGAGTGAAATAAGTCAATCGCAAAAGGACAAATATTGTATGAGACCACTACTATAAAAACTCAAGAAAAGGTTTACACACAAAAAGAAACAATCTCTGATGATTACTAGGGAGGGGAGGGGTAGGGAAGGAAAAACACTAAATAGGCAATAGATAAGTGGTAATTTTGGTGAAGGGTAAGACAGTACACAATACTAGGGAAGCCAGCACAGCTTGTCCAAGGCAAGGTCATGGAAGCTCCATAGACAAATCCAAACTCCCTGAGGGACCAAATTACTGGGCTGAGGGCTGTAGGGACCACAGTCTTGGGGAACACGTAGTTCAACTGGCATAATACTTATAAAGAAAATGTTCTACAATCTCCTTTGGTGAGTAGCATCTGGGGTCTTAAAAGCTTGTGGGTAGTCATCTAAGATACTCCACTGATCTCACCCCATCTGGAGCAAGAGCGAATGAAGAAAACCAAAGACATAAGGGAAAGATTAGTCCAAAGGACTAGTGGACCACAAGTACCACAGCCTCTACCAGCCTGAGTCCAACACAACTAGATGATGCCTGGCTACCACCCACTGACTGCTCTGACAGGGATCACAACAGAGGGTCCCGGATAGAGCTGGAGAAAAATGTAGAACAAAATTCTTACTCACACACACAAAAAAAAGACCAGACTTACTGGTCTGACATAGACTGGAGAAACCCTGAGAGTATGGCCTCCGGACACCCTTTTAGCTCCGTAATGAAGTCACTCCTGAGGTTCACCCTTCAGCCAAAGATTAGACAGGCCCATAAAATGAGACTAAATGGGCACACTAGCCCAGGGGCAAGGACGAGAAAGCAGGAAGGGACAGGAAAGCTGGTAATGGGGAACCTGAGGTTGAGAAGGGGAGAGTGTTGACACGTCATGGGGTTGGCAACCAATGTCACAAAACAATATATGTATCAATTGTTTAATGAGAAGCTAGTTTTCTCTGTAAACCTTCATCTAAAGTACAATTAAAAAAAGAAATAAAGAAAATCAAAGGAAAAAAAAGAGTATCTCAGGGTGATAGTCTCAGGGAGCCCTCTAGTCTCAAATGGTCAAGTAAGTCTGGATTTATTAAGAATTTGAGATCTCTTTGGCATTTTTCTTCTGTTGTATTAGGGTCCATCTATTGTGGCCCTGATCAGAATGGGTGGTAGTGGTAGCCAGGCACCATCTTATTCTTCTGGTCTCAGGTAAATAAAGTTTTATCGGAACACAGTCACGTCCATTTGTTTACCTATTGTCTGTGGATGCTTCTATGCTACAAGGCAGAGTCAAATAGTTGAGACATGAACTACATGGCCCAAAAAGCTGAAAATATTTGCTATCTGGCCTTTTATATAAAAAGTTTACTGATCTCTCCCCACTCTGAAATAAGTATGTAAAATCAAACTACATCTTCTGATTGCTAACCAAAAGGTCGGCAGTTTGAATCCACCAGGTGCTTCTATGGGGCGGTTTCTACTCTGTGCTATAGGGTCACTATGAGTCAGAATTGACTCGACGGCAGTGAGTGGTGTAGTGGTACACCTTCTGATTAAAGACTGTAACAATACTACAACCATAAATCTGCAAATTATTTTAATATCCTAGGCATATAGGAAAATCCGTATCTCTGATTATCTAATAGGTTTATGTCTTACCTATGAGATATTTGCATAAAAACCTGGTGTCCTCTTAATTTTTTTACAACAAAGCTTCCTAGGCAAATTAGTGCTATTGATTTAAATGTTCTCAAATTAGGAAATGGGAATATGAAAGTTATATGAAACCTATGGCCGAATTCTAAATGTAAATACATGAGAAAATTAAGCAAATGAGCATTACATCAGTCAGTATAGTCAAAACAGGAGGTTGAGATTCTGACAATTTTCTTTTGCAATGGCAATAGGGAAAGAAGAAACTACCCCAAGTGTTAGACATTCTCACCACATATAACACAATGAGATAGATACTCGATGTTAGATACTAGAATAAGCTACATTTATTGAACGATCCCAGTGTATTGCTGTTGTTAGGCGCCATCAAGTTGATTCTGACTCATAGCAACTCTATGCACGACGGAACAAAACACTGCCTGGTCCTGCACCATCCTCACAATCACTGTTATGCTTGAATCCATTGTTGCAGCCACTGTGTCAATCGATCTCATTGAGGGTCTTTTTCTTTTTCACTGACCCTCTACTTTACCAAGCATAATGTCCTTCTCCAGGGACTGGCCCCTCCTGATGACATGCCCAAAGTACATAAAATGAAGTCTCGCCATCCTCGCTTCTAATGAGCATTCTGGCTGTACTTCTTCCAAGACAGACTTGTTCATTCTTCTGGCAGTCCATGGTATATTCAGTACTCTTTACCCACACAATAATTTAAAGGCATCAATTCTTCTTTGGTCTTCCTTATTCATTGTCCAGCTTTCGCATGCATATGAGGCAGCTGAAAATACCATGGCTTGGGGCAGATGCATCTTAGTCCTCAAAGTGACATCTTTGTTTTTTAACCCTTTAAAGAGGTCTCTTGCAGCAGATTTGCCCAATGCAATACGTTGTTTGATTTTTTGACTGCTGCTTCCATGGGTGTTGGTTGTGGTGGCTTGTGTGTTGCTGTGATGCTGGAAGCTATGCCATCGGTATTTCAAATACCAGCAAGTTCACCTATGGTGGACAGGTTTCAGCAGAGCTTCCAGACTAAGACAGACTAGAATGAAGGACCTGATGATTTACTTCTAAAAAAACTGGCCAGTGAAAACTTTATGAATAGCAGCAGAACACTGTCTGACATAGTGCTGGAAGAAGAGCCCCTCTGGTTGGAAAGCACTCAAAATACGACTAGGGAAGAGCTGCCTCCTCAAAGTAGAGTCGACCTTAATGACATGGATGGAGTAAAGCTTTCAGGACCTTCGTTTACTGATGTGGCATGACTCAAAATGAGAAGAAACAACTACAAACATCCACCATACATATATACATTACATATTTTAGAACAGAGAAAAAAAGGCCCCAGTTCCTGTGGGCTCTCTAGAGCCAACAACGCATGATACTTTCTTCAATACTACGACCTTAAGCAACTTGAAAAGGAACCTTGTTGCATGCCGTCAAGTTGACGTCGACTCACAGGGACCCCATGTGACAAGAGTAGAGCTGCCCCATAGGGTTTTCTTGGCTGCAATCTTTACAGAAGCAGATCACCGGGTCTTTCTCCCACAGAGCTGCTGAGTAGGTTCAAACTGCCAACCTTTCAGTTAGCAGCCGAGCACGTCACCATTTGCGCCACCAGGGCTCCTTGAAAAGGAACCTAAGAACTATTAATATATATACAAGTAATACCAAATGCTGTTTCAGTTACAGTCAATGTCTTCAACACACAATTTTAAACTTCCTTTTCAGTTTATATTATTTAATGGCTAACTTCCAAAGGAAAACTATTTTAGCTTTTCATCAAGCTTAGAATTCCTGGTACATTTGTTTGAACATATTAGAGATTGCGGAAAATGTGGATTGTGCCAGCATAGAAGTTACTGGCAAGCGTGTAGTCTTCAAAATCTTCTTTGGAATCCCGGAGGAAGGTGGTTCTGACCTGACTGACAATTAGCCTAAAACATCTTGACTTACGTAGTAACTGGCACAGTAAAAATGAATGACTGAAACGTCATAGAAACCTATGTATGGTCCCATAGACTTAGAAGGAAATGAGCACCAAAGAGAGGGGAGAAAGAAAAACAACTGGCTCCCCCATCATGGAGTCAGTTTTCAGAATAGCCAAAGCTCTGGGTCCAATGCTTCAAGCAGATCAATGTCATTCATTAGTGGATAAATGTGAAAATTGTAGCCCTACGGCTCTTCTGATGAGCTACCCTGAGTAATGTCCACTGAAAGCTGAGCAGTAAAGAAGCGGGGCAAATAAAATTAATTACCTGATGAAGACCTGATATCGCTCAACTTTTTCCAGCAGATGCAGTTTATAACGCCTGTGCTGTCATCCACTGCAAGAAAAAGATAAAAAGGTAGAAGAGAGATTTGGCATTGCTGGTGAACTAGCATATGGTCACTGCATTTGCCATACTAAAAGATGACAGTTTTCAATGGCCTGGTGGGCCAAATCCATATCAAATTCTCCTTCTACCTTTAGGAATAATTTCTCACCTACACCAATGCAAACTGATTGTCTGCACATGCCAATGTTATACATGAGCTCAACGTAATGTACTGAACATTTCGCTTACCCTAACTAAAGGGTACTAATGATTCTTGTCTACCCCTCGCTCCTGAAAATGGTTTCCTCAATCTCAATGACTGCTGACATATAAAGTCAGCCTTTCTCTCCTGCCCTGGAACAAGACAGCATCACATGGTCTGTGGTCTGTAGTCTGTGGTCAGAGGCACAGTTACTTACAGCGCAGACTTGTGTCACCATTTGCTCCCTCACTAGCTTGCTAACTCACCAACATACAGCATTCCAAGCCTTTGGGCCTGGGCTTTTCTTTGTGAGAAAGATCATCTGCCTAGTCCTTACAGCTGCAGGAGCTTTCAGTAAAGCAAAGCACATCATAGATTTTCATAACAGAAATAATTATATCCTGGCCATAAAAATAATACTGGTTTTGCTTATTTTATCCCTAGTGCAAAAACAAACAATTCCCATTGCACTTGGTTTTGGGACTGTAGAGAAATTTGGAAATGTCTACTATGAGATGATGGGTGTTTTCTCTTTGCCTAATTTCTGATAAACTCAGAGCAGAGATTGCTAAGCATGGAGTCAGAGGGCCTAGTGATTTTTTAAAAATCAACTAGAGTGGTAAATGTACACACGATATAGAAGAAACTTAAGGTAAACATTCTTGATTGCTCAATTAAATCATGGAGGTAATAATACCTGCGTTGAAAGCAGAAGCCCAGAATTATCTTTACAGTAAAATAAATTCTAGATGGGTTTTATTTTTTTAATGTAAAATCAAGAAGACAAGAAGAAAATATGGTGAATACTGTTTTAACCTTGGGCTTATAATTAGTGGGAGAGATCTCTCTAGGCAGGACCTGAACATCAGAATTCATTAAAAAGTCTGACATATATGACTACCAAAAAACTAAAACTGTATAGCAATTTTCCAAACAACAGTCGGTGCCTTAACATATATAAAAGAGTCCCTACATATTAATTAGAAAAATATCAAAACCACAAAAAATATGGCAAAGAATATGCCGTTCAGGGAAGATATAAAACAGGTCAATAAGCATATGAAAAGATGATAAATTTACTAGTTATTAGGATATTAAAGCAAATTTAAATAATTGCACTACTTGTTGCTTTTGTGTGCCAGTGAGTCGATTCTGACCCATAGTGACTGTACAGGACAGAGTAGAACTGCCCATACAGTTTCCTAGGCTGTAATTTTAAGGGAACAGATTGCCAGCTCTTTTCTCCTTTGGAGCAGCTGGTGGGTTATAACTGCTGATCTTTCAGTTAGCAGACGAATGTTTTAACCATTTCACCGCCAGGGCTCTGTATTTCACTACCAGAATGACAAATATTAAAAGTTATTGATAACCTCATGTACCGTTAGTGGGAAGTGTGTATTAGTACCAACTCTGTGAAGAGCAAGTTTGGAAACATGTCTCAAATTTGGAAATTTGACTTATTATTTCCAGTAACTTATCCTGAGGAGAAATACCAAAAAAGTATACAAATATATGCATTTTGAATAAGACTGTTCATTGCAACACTGCTTATGACTCTGAAAATTAGAGACAATCAAAATGCTTATAAATATGGAATTGGCTAAGATAGAATAGCATGTGAAAATAAAAAGTTATAATGAAGCTCTTATGTTCATTGCTGTTAAAGGATATTCATTCCTCATTGTAAAATAAAAATCTTATATAACAGCATATAATCTAATTTATAAAATATTATTAAATAGTGTATGTGGAGAGCAATGATTTTTTAAATTTTTTTTTTTGTTGTACTTTGGGTGAAGGTTTACAGAACAAATATCTTCTCATTAAACAGCCAGTACATATGTTGTTTTATGACATTGGTTAAGAGAGCAATGATTTTAAGACAAGCATTGCTTAGTATCAGTTTCTTTTGGAGTGTGAAGAAGCAACCCCACATTCAACATATACACTGACTGTAAACCTAATTATAGAAATATTAAGAAGTGAAAGAAATATGCATAATAGTACTGAGGAAATAAGGCATAGCTATAGTTACTCAATATTAAGAAGACTTCTAAGTTTAGAAGGATGTTCACTCAAATATTAATAGTATTTTTATGTGATTTGTGGGGTTTTATGTAGTTGATTTGAATGTTCTCTAATTTTAAATTTTAGTTTATAATGATTAAGTATAATTTTAACCAGTAAAAAAGCAATAGACATTCTGAGTTAAAAAATGTATGACACCTCCAGGCACACCACTTCTTTGGCTGGTTTAAAATCTTGATTTATAATGGAGAGGAAAAAAAAAAAGAGAGAGAGAGCGCATATTAACATTGTTCTAGAAAATGTGAAGTCATTCTGTTCTTGACTGAAGCCTCCCAGGACTCCAGCTGGGAGCTGGAGTTGCTGCCAGCGGCTCTGTGCACCCTGGGCATCGCCACAGAACCCTCTGACTTCTGCTGGTTTGTATCCTTCCCCACAGAGCCTGTGCCATGCACCCCGAGATCTGACTGGGGGAAGGCCCAGAGCTGCCCACCCTTGCAGGGCCACTCGGCATCCTCTCTGGCTGGGCAGCGCCACATCCTTTCCAGAGGCGCCTGGGCTGCAGGCCTTGTGTTTCTAGTTGTGGGGCAAGTCAGACAGCGTGAACAGGAAGCACCCCCAGCACAGGCCTGTGGTGAGTCAGGCGGAGCAGGGCTAAGGACAGCCTGGCAGGTGGCCCAGGAGACAATTTGGGCCTGAGGACTGCAGGGAGAGAGGCAGTTCCCTATCTGAACAGATCACACGAGAGTTAAAGTTAAAAGCACTTTTACTCTCAATTCATTCAACATTCAGATGCTTTCTCAGAGCCCCACAGATGTGTCCTGCTCTAGGACACCCACTCTGAGGGAAATGTTCATTGAGGAATAGTCACACATATCACTGAAATCATTTTATAATGGGAAAGGAGCCTAACTGAAGCCCCTTTAGATCCCAGGCCTAGTACCTGACCTGGTTCTGGGGCCAGGACTGAAGTCCTCACACAGCCTCCCACCTTTGATCTGAAAAGAGTCAAGTGCATGGGCTTTGTGAGAATCATCCAGCTGCTCCCAAAGGCTGGGATTGCTTAAAATTCAACTTTCAGCTAAGTGAGGTCCTCATACATAAACTAAATCTCAAACACAATTTCTCTTACCTCCATAACTGTAGAAAGCATCTCTTTCTCTCACTCCAATTACAGTTCCCAAGACATCTACCTGTTTTACCGGATGCCCATTGTAAAAAAATATACCTGAAATTAAAAAAAAAAAAAAAAGGCAGAATCAATTTATTTTATGAGTACAGGTAGTCCCCGACTTACGACAGGGTTCCCTTTTGATGACTGTCATGAGTTGGTTCTGATGTGAGTCGACTACCTCATTTTTTTTGTTTTTTTTAGTTTTCATTTCAAAACACAGTAGTGTTTGGAACAGTAAATCATAAAAGTTAGCATGTGCAAGTGAACATCTGAGAATGATAACATAAGCGAATTAAACACTGCTACACTGTATGTAGTACATACTGCTAATGATAAGATGAACCAAAAAACAAAAATGGATGGTCTTAAGTGTGTGTCTTAGTTACCTAGTGCTGCTATAATAGAAATATCACAAATGGGTGGCTTTAACAAACAGAAATTTATTTTCTCACAGCTTAGGAGGCTAGAAGTCTGAATTCAGGGCGCTGACTCTAGGGGAAGGCTTTCTCTGTTGGTTCTGGAGGAAGGTCCTCGTCTCTTCTGAGCTTCTGCTCCTGGGCAATCTTCATATGCTTGGCATCTCTCTTCCCCTGTCTCTTTTGCTAGCTGGCATTTAATCTGTTTTATATCTCAAAAGAGACTGACTTAAGATACACCTTACACTAATCCTGTCTCATTAATATAACAAAGAAAATCCATTCCCAAATGGGATTATAACCACAGGCATAGAGGTTAGGATTTACAACACATATTTTTTGGGGACACAATTCAATTCATAACAGTGCAGTTCATCAAAACTTGAATAAGTCCTAAGTCAGGACTACCTGTACATAGTCTGCTTCATTAAATGTTAATTGTGTGTTGGGTGGGGTGTGTGGGGGGGTGATGGATGTCAAAAATCAGTGGCATGCTGCTTGCTGCAATTCAGACTTAAGAATGAGCCCTTGATGGATGGCAAGCCCTGCCAAATTCAGATGTCATTTCCATAAGAGTCATAAGCAGAAAGCTCCACTTTACAGAAGCTTACACCAGTGCAAAAAGGAGAAAACCAATTTTTCCCAACTTGATTTGGTTAATCTACTTTCCACTTGTAAAAATTAAACGTAGCTCCTTATTGAATAATGGCGGCTGAAAACAATCATTATATCATGTGACCAGGCTTTGTACTGTATTTTGAGGTACTGGAAAAAAGGAAAGAGAGAAGAAACCACGAAAAAGACTTCTTTGGCTTTTTCTGCAATGCTTTTCTAAGAAACCAGTCATCATTTCTATGAATTGGTAATAGCATTTTTTTTTTTTTTAAAGGAGAAGGTGTTAAGTAGGTTACAAAATACTGCTTTTGGGGCCAGCAGATTACAACCCAAAGAGTTTCTTTTTAAAACTCTGTTTTAAAAACTTAAAGATTACAGATGTCAACAGCCATGTCCCAGCAGAGAAGGAACCTCAGAGAGTGAACCCTACCCACAGACACACGGAGACCTTTTCTGACTCAGGAACAGGACCCAGACAGGATTCCTGGGAGTGGTGAGCCCAATTCTGATGAGGCCCCAGGGCTGCCTTGGCTCCTGATGTTTTTCCATTCTGTGGAACCCAGTATTTCTACCTTAATTCCCTAGACTGGCTTAAGCTACTTCCAGTTGATTCCTGTTACCTGCAACCAGAGTCCCAAACAAACCTGTTGTCATCTAGTAGATACTGAATCATAGCAGCCCCATTAGTAGAACTGAGTTCCACAGGATTTTCTTGGCTGTAATCTTTATGGAAGCAGATCGCCAGGCTTTTCTTCTGTGGCACCACTGGGTGGCTCAAACCACCAACCTTCTGGCTAGCAGTCGAGCACAAAGCATCTGCACCACCCAAGGACCTTAGGAACTCTACAGTATAGTCTAAAGATCACTCTATGAAAAGATGGTTGAAGTCTGTTTCAACCAGGATGTTTCATTTAAAAAAAACCACATCTGACACATTATCACCAGTGACATGGCAAAGATCAACAGTACCAGTTTTCCTTTGTTTCTTTGAATACATAATAAGGCCCTCTGCCCACAGGGAGAGTTAAGCTCTTCCAACAGGCTCCTATCATGTCCCTGATACTTCCTTGAACACCTATAGAAGATATTTAAGCGTGGTTGTCATTTTATGTGAATTAATTTCTTCCTGAGGAGATAAGCTATGAAGAATACCAGACTATTCTGGAAAACAGACAACTGTGGAGGCGGCTGGCTGCCTTCCAAGGGAAAAAACAGACCATTTCTAACAATAATTAGGAAATAAAGGTGTGGCAAAAAAATCTGTACGAGGACTTTAGTAGAAGGTCATCCAACTATATTTGTATACGGAACTGGAAAGACAAAACCTCAGCTCATTAAACTCTGGGTTCTTCAGATTGTTGACTACTTCTGACTCATAGTTTTTCATTCAACAGGCTCTTGACTGGAAAGCACCATGGGAAATAGCAAAGTTTATCCAAACTTCTCACATACACAGTATCCATGTGAAGGTCTACTCACAGCTACATGAATTGTTTAAATCTATCCCCAAACTATACTGATTATATTTTTAGGTAAGAACCTATTTTTAGTAACCAATATTCTAATAAAAAAATTTTAACCTTACATTTATAATGCTTTGGTCCATCAATTACTACTTCTTGAGGGCCCATACATGCCAGGCACTGTTCTGAGCCTTGGGATTACCCTGGTGAACAAGACAGTTAATGTCCTTCCTCTCAAGCAGTTATATAATTTGATTCTAACTCAAAACAAAACAAAACCTTACAAGAAAACCAGGCATTCTTAATCCTCATTTTTACAAAGAAGAAGCTCTGCAGAAACAAAAACCCGTTGCCGTCAAGTCAATTCCGACTTCCAGTCCTAGCGACCCTATAAGACACAGTAGAACTGCCCCATAGGGTTTCCAAGGAATCGGTGGTGGATTCGAACTGCTGACCTTTTGGTTAGCAGCTGTAGTTCTTAACCACTGCACCACCAGAGCTCCAAGCTCTGCAGAAGATGAGTCATAACCCAGGTCAGGTAAGTGGCATAGTTTGGATCCCGAGTCAGGCATAGGGATGCCCAGTCCAGCAATCTTCCCACCAAGAGCTGACCCAAAGAAAAACAACATTTTAAAATATGAAAACCTCAGTCTCAGATAAAAACGTTCCTTCAGTCCAGAGGTTACTCCCCTAAGTATCTATTTAAAAAAAAAAACTAACAACAACTTAGACTGTTTTTAACCTGCATAGAAATTGACTGACTCTAGGGTCCAGGCTAAGGAGTCTTGGTGGCACAACGGTTAAGAGCTCGGCTGCTAACAGAAAGGTTGGCGGTTTGAACCCATCCTGCAGCTCCCCGGAAGAAAGACCTGGCATCTACTTCTGTAAAGACTGTTGTTGTGTGCTGCAGAGTCGATTCCAACATAGAGCACCCTATGGCAATTCTGTCACAAGGGGTCGCTATGAGTCGGAATGAACTCAACAGGACTCAACAACAAGGTCCAGGCTAGACCATTTTCAAAGGGAACGCTCTCCTGAAAGCCCCGCAGCCCTGCTTTCTGCAGCTTTGGGGAAGGGGTGGTGGTGATGTAGAAGCAGCACAAGGCATCCATCCAGGCACCTACCTGGTACCTGCTGGGACTCCTTCAAGTTCAGGATATCTCTGACATAGAGTTTTGCAAAGGCTAGAAATACAGGATCCAAACCCCAAAAGAGGGGAGGGGTCTCCTCTTCACATCGGCTGGATTCGGACTGCATCTGGAGGCTGGGCTGTGGTTTCCAGGCGACCCTGAAAGGCTCTGCATCACTCCCGTTGAGGGTCTGGATGAGAAATACAAAAACCAGGATGCAAGGCGTTTAACTTGGGTGCGAAGTTGTTCCGGGTGGGCATAGATAGAGCGCAGGGAGGGGTAAACTCAGGGGCCAAGAGCCCTGTGACATTAACGCGTAAGATAGTGAGGAAGGAGGCTTTCGTCCCGTGAAGGACCCACGAGTTCCTTGTGGCCCTCGCCCTGAAATTCCCTCTGTCCCAGCAGTATTTCTCTCTCCCCAAAAGTACTAGAGACAGATAAACACTTTTATTTTGGGGGGATATGTCCATACAGGCACACCCTGCAACCGCTTTAATGGGTGGGGTCCTGGGAGGAATGGACGCCCTCCTGGCCCTACACGTGTTGGCGATACAGTAGGAGAGTCACAGTCGACCTGCCCATGCACTTTCTGTTTTTCGGGATGAGACCGAGCAACAGGAAACGAAACATGGGACACACACACACAGCCTTTCCGCCGCTACCGCGCTGCCGACCGGCCACTCCCAGGAAGCCCGGCCCTTCCCGACGTTCAGAGGTGGCCGCGGACACCCAGCCCAGAAGAGACGCAGTCAGCCCCGCCCGTCCGTGGAGCAGTTGGTCGCCGTCTCATTCCGTGATCCGAGTTCCGGCACCGCCCAACACCGCCCCCAGGGAAAGACCAACCCTCGTCTCCAACCTCCGGCGTTTCCTTCCTTCGGCCTCGCCCATCCCGCAGAGGCTCCGCCCACCCCTCAGAAGTTCCGCCCCAGCTTCACCCCATCTTGTCAGTCTATCGGCTCCTGGCCTGCGCCGCTCCGCGTAGTCTTGTTTTATGCAGCACATAGGCTTCTCCGGCCTCTTGACTCCTCAGGGTTCGTGCTTCAGCTGAGAGCCACGTCCTGAGCACAGCAGGGCTCTTGTTTAAACTGAAGTCTCGAATTGCGGAGGTCTGGGAGCCGGGCTGATACTCCTGCTGCTCATAAATCCCTCTCCAAGTCACCTTTCCCTCCAGTCCCCCGCTGATGGCAGGTCCTGAGCCAGGGCCTCCAAGAGTTTGGGACAGGCTTGGGCTTTTGTTTTGTTTTGTTTTGTTTTGTTTTTGGCTCCTGATATATTAAGCAAACAGATATAAATAAAGCAATGTCAAAAGCAGGATTTCATTGTGGTGTACTTTATTTTTTTTAATTTTATTTTGTTGAGAATATGTATAGCAAAGCATATGCCAAGTCAAGAGTTTCTACATCATGTACAATTCATTGACATTGATTACATTCTTCCACTTGTGCAATCATTCTCACCCTCCTCTCCCCTAACATAAACTTACTGCCCCCTAAGGTTCATATCTAATCTTTCCAGTTGTTGTTGTCAGTTTGATCCCATGTAGATAGTTCTTAAAAGAGCATAATGCTCCAGGCAGAAATTTTTAACTAGTTAAGCTAAACTATTGTTTGACTTTAAGAAAACTTCAGGGGATATTTTTGGTTTAAGGTTTAAAGTTATCTCAGGGCAATAGTTTCAGGGGTTCATCTAGACTTCATGGCTTCAGAAAGTCTGGAGTTTGTGAAAATTCAAAATTTTCTTCTGCATTTTCCTCCTTTTGCTCAGGATCCTTCTATAGACTGTTTGATCAAAATGTTCAGAAATGGTAGCCGGGTACCAACCAGTTCTGGTCTCATGGCAAAGAAAGTCGTTCACAGAGGCAATTAGCATTGCAGTATACTTTAAATGTTTATTTACACCTTATAAGTGATTATTAACACACACATGCACTTTAGGACTCTACAATCTCACTTGGTGATATCATCAGTATCTACATTTGAGCCCTTGTATGAATGTGAGATTTTGGCCCTGCCCGAGAATAGCCCTGGAAGATCATGACAATAAATTTTGGCTCCTTTCTTTTTACTTGGTCTACCGTGTGGAATGTTGTACACCTAAGAACTGTGAAAACCTGACATTTTGGAAAATCAGGGCCAACTTGATGGAGATGTGTTCCCTTCAGCCCTAATTTAAAACATAGCTACATTCCACTCTCATAAGTAAATAAATAAGCTACATCATGACATTACTGCAGATAGCAAGCATTCTTCCTGATTTATAAGGACTCTGTAAAATGACAGAAGTATAAGCTCCCCCAGCAGGCCATTCCTGGGGGAGGCAGTTGGTGGCCAAAGAGATCATTGCTAAACCATTTAGCAGGGCTGGAACTTCAAGCAGCTGGAATGGAAAATGTGTGTAATTAGAATGATGGATTTAATTATGTCCGCCAAAGAAGAAACTAAAAAACAGAGTCCTTGAAAAAGTTCATCATCGCCCATATTCTACTGCAATGAGCAGTTGGGTCTGTGGAGTTCAAGATTTAATTAAGGGAAGACACCCTCTCTAGTAGGAGGGAGGCTCTCCTCAAGGAAGCACACCCAACAGGACAGTGCTTGGGCTGACCTGTCAGATGGGGAGAGAGACAGGTTGAGCCACATTTTCCTGACTGCACGCATCTGCTCCAGGGTGGAGCCCAAGAAGAAAATCAGCATCTGGGTGTACTCAGAGCCCAAAATGACTTAAGGAATGACTCTCAGAGCTCTCAGAAATAGAGTGCTGGAGGTAAGAGCCCTAGGGGACTCCTAGCTAACAGCCAGCCTTGGAGAGCCACACCTAGGTTGTATAAAGCAAAGCCAACAGCCCCTGGTGTCATCTTTTACAATGAAGGGAGCGCTCCTTGGAGCCTAGGGGTGCTCCTTTTTATCTTAGCTCAGAAGTAGAAGGAGTAAGCTGCAGCTGAAACCCAAGATGAGGTGTAGGAGCAGTTTCCAGGCACAGAATCATCTAGAGGAGTTTCCCTGAGCCCTGCCTCGAGGTGTGCAAAGGGACTCCAGGAAGTTTCTGTGAACACTGGAGGGCTCTTTAGCTTGGGATTTTCCAGCACTGCAAAGCAGATACCTTGGAGCCCAACAATCAACACTTTCTTGTGACTTACCAGAATGAAATCACTTGTTTTTGTAGGCAGTTTTTGCAGATTCAATACTTTCTAGAAAGCGAAAATTTTTAGCAAGGCCCTCTGAACTGGACATCTCAGGTCTCAAAGTTCAAACTATCTCACTTGAACCATTCTGACATCTTTACAAGTAGAATAGTTGGTTCAGAGTTTCTGTTCAAAGTTTGTAACAAAGATACCTTATGAACATTCTTACTGTGTTCATGCTATAACCCTGAGGGGATGTCTTTTGTCATTTAGCACACACTGAGCACCCCCCGTCTTTGTTACTGTGCTATGGGGGAGCACTAAGAATTTGTATTTCTTTAGGGCAAAAAGAATGATGCATGTAATATATGAAATAACAAAGCAAGAGGCAAACTTATGATCAAATACAGAATAGTGGCCTGGATAATAAACACTGTAGGAGTTAGAGGAGGTAAATGCTGGGCCTCATTAAATGAAATAATATATATAACCACTGGAATACAGTGAGCACTCAATACATGCATTAGTATTATTCATTACAGAGGTGGGATTTAACTTGGGTCTTGCAATGTATTTGTAAAGTACATGTCAAGCACTGTACTAGAGACTGGGGATAGAAAGGAGACAAGATATTGGGTTTCAGTCCTTTTAAAGCTTCCATTCTGTTGGGGGAGGGGAAGGACAATAAACAAACAATTTAATTAATAAAATCAGTACAGAATGTCATGAGCGCTTTGAAAGAAATAAAAGGGGAATGAAGGTTGCTAATAACTAGGTGGGGGATCTACTTTATGTAGATCTATTTCATCTGTTGAGATGAGATTAAGAGACATTCAGCCTGAAACCTGGAGGATGAGAAGAAGCCAGCCAGGCAAAGTGCTAAGTGAAGCGCCATCCAGATAGCAGTCTCAATAAAGGCAATGCCCAGAGGCAGGAAGGCACTTTGTTCAAAGGATAGAAGAGAGAGTGGTTGGGAATGCAATTGGAGAGACAGGCAGAAGTCAGATCACATGGGGCCTTGGAGACCATCATAAGTTTGGATTTTATTCTCCTTCTCCCTGTATGGAAAGGGAAGGGGATGATATTGTGATGGGGTGGGAGCAGGGCAGAAGCAGCAGGATGAGCTGGGCATGTTTATGGGTAAGCAGACAGGGAGCCTGGCTGAAGAGGGCAGCTGTGGTGGAAACAGCAGGAGATGAGGCCATACACCAAGATGTGGGCTACATTCTGAAGGGCTTCAATTAGCTTCAACTTTCATTCCCTGTAAGCAGAAGAGGGAATGGTTATTGAACAACAGAGGGTTGCTTGTTGAGCAGAGGAATAATTTAATGAGTTAAAAACTGGGGGGGATACCTGCCGTAATCTAACATGCTATGGTTTCAATTGCTTTCAAGTCGATTCAGACTCATGGCAATCCCCTGTGTGTCACAGTAGAATTGTGCTGTATAGAGTTTTCAATGGCTGACTTTTTTGGAAGTAGATCACCAGGCCTTTCTTCTGAAGTGCCTGTGGGTGGACTCGAACTTCCAGCCTTTCAGTTAGCAGCCGAAGCCCGTTAACTATTTGTGCCCCCAGGGATTCCAACATACTATGGGAGGAAGTGGTCTCTACCTGTGATCGTTAAGGTTATGTGTCAACTTGGTGGGGCATGATTCTCAGTGGTTTGGCAGTTATGATGAGATCTGATATAATATTACTTCCATGATGGGATCTGCTGTGAGTAGTCAATCAGTGGAAATGGGAGTGGCACCACTCACTATTACCCCTAGTGACTCACTCGAAAA